TGGACCAGAAGAGTAGACAGCTCCTCGTAAGTGAGAGTGGAGTCGCCAATGACTCTCTTCATGTGATATTTAGTTGATTTAATGCATGCCTCCCAAAGACCACCAAAATTTGGAGCGTGCGGTGGTATAAAATGCCACTTAACACTGTTGGAGCTGAGCCAATCCCTAATTTCATCAGCGACCAATGACTGTTCCGCATTTACTAGGCAGCGTAACTCCTTGGAAGCACCTACAAAATTCTTTCCGTTGTCACTCCAAAGGTCACTGCAGTGACCTCGTCTGGCAATGAATCTTTTAAACGCTGCAATAAAAGATTGTGACGTGAGATCGCTTACGACCTCCAAGTGCACCGCTCTCGTAACCATACATACAAACAAAGATATGTATCCCTTATAGGACTTGTTGCCGCGACCTTTGGACACTCTAATATTGATTGGACCTGCGAAGTCCACTCCACTGTGTACAAATGCTCTGGCTGGTGTAACTCTGCACAAGGGTAATTGTCCCATGAATTGGTTTTTAAATTTAGCTGAGTGTCGGAGACAAGTTACACATCTACGTGCAAATGATTTGACTGTGCCTTTTGCCGAGATTATCCAGTATTTCGAGCGCAAGTAATTCAACATTAGAGTGGGTCCTCCATGAAGTGTTTTTCTATGGGCTTCATCAACAAGCAGGCCAGCTAGGTGACTATGTTGAGGAATAATAATGGGGTGTCTCATGCTTTCAGAGAGTTGAGCATGTTCTATTCTTCCTCCTACTCGCAGTATTCCTCGTGAATCCAGTATGGGACATAGTGCCTTTAATTTGCTTTTAGTCTTAACTCTTCCTGATCTCTTAACATCGTCTATGTCTTCACTAAATGATTGCCGTTGAAAATCTCTAATACAAATTTCCAGGGCCTCATCTAATTCCTCGCTGGTCAGGTAAGTGTGTCCTTTCCTATTTATTTTAAAAAATCTTCTGCAATACGCCACAACTCGGACCTTGGTCGTCGTTTTATCCTCCCGAACTACGGCGTGGTGAGGTAAGTACACAGCCTCCGTTCTCTGAGTGTCCGTTACGGGATTGATTACTTCTATGTGACCAAGGTCGAGGTATTCTTGAATGACCTCAGTATACTTCTGTTTCATCTCTGGATCCTTCTTAAAACGACGTTCAAGAAGGTGAAATCGTCGAAGCGCAATGTCTCTGGTATGGCCGTATTTGCACTGTGGGTCTGAGTCTCTAAATGGTAAACTGACAACATACCGACCAGTGCTGTCTCGTTGAGTGGTTTGCTTGAAGAAGTCTTCGCATAACTGTTCTTCCTGGGTAAGTATTTTCTTCTTACTGTATGCGTCAGATTCGATTTCCCAAAATCTTTTAAGCATTTCATTGTCACTGATCTGCGAATGCATGCTTACCAATGCCGGGTGACAATGTGCTGAATCCAAATTCGAATCTCTGTGTGTTCGACCAGACAAAATCCAACCTAACCGTGTATTTTGTGCTATCAAGGGTTCAAGAGGGTGCTTGATTAAACCCTCTTTGAGTACCTGGCCATAAACTTCAGCTCCAAGCAAAATATCGATTTTGTTTGGATTGTGGTACTCTGGATCTGCTAAAACTATTTCTTCTAGTTGATGCCATGTTGGCACTAATACTTTATCACCTGGAAGTAACGATGTAATATTGCCCAAAACATATGCCTGAACTTGGATGTGAAAATTAGGATCGTGACGTGATTTAATAGTTACGAAAACGATAAACTTGGAGACCATAGCTCCACCATCACCTCCTATGCCTGAAATGACACCTCTTGCGGGTGTCTTTTTGAGTCCAAGTAACTGAACTGCTGATTCGGTTATGAACGACGTCTGGGATCCTTGATCCAATAACGCCCTCAGCAGGTGGTTGTATCCGTTGCCTGTCTGTGCTTCGACAAGAGCGGTTGCTAATAAGACCTGATTTGGAACAGCCTTCTTACTAAAGTGAGTGGTTATAGCGGCAGCATTTAATTCCTGCACCGCATCGGAAGCAGTACTCGATGTAGCTACTGCCGACTTGACTACTGACGTCGTCTCTGCAATGCCTCTAGACGACGTTGATCCTGAGGATTCCTTAGGGTGTAATAAAGAGTGGTGTTTGCGATTGCAAATCTGACAAGTGGTGGGGACACGACAAAACTTAATAGAATGATTCGACCCTAAACAATTAAAGCATAAGCCACTAGTTCGAACGAAATCACTACGTGTTTTATAGTCATTTTTACAAAACTGTTTACAGTGACTAAGTTTGTGGGGTTGTTTACAGAATGGACAGCTTGCTTTAATAGGGGTATCGTTTTTGGAAGCAACCGCATGAAGAACTCTTGGTTTGTAACTTGACCTTTGTCTACCACTCTGTGTATCCAAGTACTCTAATGACCGAAATCGAGACTCTAGAAACGTTTTAAATTTGTCAAATGTTGGTAATTCCTCACAGGTACCAACCGTTGACTCCCATAATTTTCGTGACTCGCTATCTAATTTTTCGCTGATTAAGTATATTATTATAATATCCCAAGAGTCAACGCCAACACCAATAGTTGATAGGCCATTTATGCAGTCTACAGTTGTGTCCAAAAGCTCCTTAATAGCGCCTGCTGATTCCAAAATATTCGATTGATTTATTAATCTCTTTAACATAGCGTTACACAAATACCGCTTGTTGTCATAACGCTTAGTTAGCAACTGCCAGCATTCCTGGTAATTGGCAGCTGTGACTGGAGTGTGGCGCAACAATTGTTCTGCCTCACCCGCCAAATGACCTTTTAAATAATGTAACTTCTGTACATCATCAATTGCATCGTTGTTGTGAATTAGCGATAAAAATAGATCACGAAATGATATCCATTCTGTATATTTTCCCGAAAACATTGGAATAACGACTTTAGGTAATTTAACATTATTATACATCTTTATTACCGGTTGCTTATCTGAACCCTTAGTCGGCTTTGCAAGTTTTGAAATGTGTTCTCTCAACTCTGATTTGTATAAAATATAACTTTCTTCGGTGCTATCGTATGTATCTGCTTTAAAATAACTATGTTCATTATCTTTTGCAAGTTCTACTATCTTTCTATGTGTTTCTACAAAAGACTTCCATTGTTGTTCCAAAGTTTCCAATCTGGTCTCCAGGAACGAAGGTGTTAGACGTTCTTTAGGTGATTTTTTATAATTTACTCTGCCCTTCTCAATGGAATTCTTTGCATCATTTTGCAACTTTATTAATGCTTCCATGTTGAAGTTAGAAGTTTTTGCTTGAATGCGTCACTCACTTACTCCAAATTTACAATACTTCTTAATTTCTCCGATAGGGGGCGCTTGTAACTCCTCCACACCACCGCTATTATTCGCCTGTATTGTCCGCTTCAATGACACTCCGCTGTATAATGCGCTTTCAACACGCTGCTGACAGCCAAGTGACTCCACACCCGTGGCGCCCTCTGCTGTTGACGGAATACGTCGCTGAGGCCTCTTCGTGGCGCTAAGCGGCGGCAGCACTTCAGAGCGATCCACTCTGATTTCTACGCTGGTGAAGCACTAAACATTGCACGCGTCGACACTACCGCGCACTGTATCCGGCTGAGAAGGACCATGTACAAATGGATCCCCAGGAGCCTTAATTAAAACCACTGACTCTTTACAACTAGTTTTATTAATCACTAGGTAACACTGTACACAATAGGTAAAAGGATGTTCGTTCAATACAAAGAAATCAAATCAATTTATATTGATTGCGGTAACGAAACCATAACGCGATTTAGCAAAACGGCACAGCGACATCTATCGAAGAGCAATGTAACATATTTCAATTTATACATCGACCATCAACAATCCAGCTATCGCAAACGTGCGATATCGATGCGAGTCGCAGCAATCCCCTGTGTAACTTATCGCAGTGCGCTATAACCAGCGTAGAGTCTATATCACACAGAGATTGTCAACGATACAAACCTGCACTTGATAATCTGCTCAGCGTGGTTCGAGCCTTGGTTTACGTACCGTATATAACGATTATATATTGGTTAAACTGTTAATTCATCACAAAAGGCGTGTTGAGTGCATGTCCTCTTAGGTTTAATTCAAAGCCGTCATCTGAAATGCATTTTTATTTTAATAAAATTGCTTTATGAAAAGATCAGCGTAAGAAGTTTACTCTGTAGTCTTTCGACTACTGCTTGGCAACAGACAGTTTGTAGTGGTAAGAAATATATTGTTACTAACAAGGTATTTCTTTGTTAGTACTGCACACACTCATGCACGCTAATAAACGTACCTTTAAATAGCTTTGTTTGTTAGTTTAAATTGTAAGATTGGTCTAGATTTGGTGCATCTAGACCAATCATTTTCTTTCTGTCAGATTTTATAAATTGCATTAGTAAAAAAATACCTGGCTTTTAATTATTTTTACCTTAATCACATTGACTTAGGAAACTTATATTCCAAATATTATCAAACTAATTGAAAAACTTATTAAACAATGGATTACAAATATCAGATTTAAGCTCAAATCATCAGTAGGATTATTTATCCATGACCGGCCCGTCATCTGCGCCGATGGATAAAAGATGTTGTAAAGGAAAGTCGGCAGTGGTGTGCGGATGCAAGCCACTTCAGACTGATCCAGTCGGTGGACGTCCTTTGGTTTAAATGATGACGATGATCCCATGGACATCGGCATCATTTAAACCAAAGGACGTTGAAAACCCCCATTCCCACACCCCATCTCCATGAATGATATGGCGATGGGGTTTTTAATGCACAAGAGGGATTAGAAGTGTTGTGCCCATTTTATAGTGACGTTAGCAAAAAGACAAAAGTCAATATATCGCAGTCCCTATTTACTTCTAAAATACCAAATATGTGATACCAATCTCAGAGGTGTCCTTATAGAAATTCTAGCTCATAAATGTAACAATATGACTCAAAGGGACCTCTTAATCCTGTATGTAAATGAGCTGAGATAGAACAGGATTAAGTCATGCATTGTTTCTTGATACGAAGTTCGTTGACTTGCGAATTAAGTCTGTACTGAAGTGCGGACGTGCCGGGCGACGTGCCCACGTCGACGATATTATAACTGAGAATGACAATTGGACCAATTATTGACAACCGCCCATATCTCAGACATAATATGGATTTCCTCCTCCCACTAAGTTAGGTCAGAGGCCGCTACCTATGAACCTAGAATTGCCTAATTGAGAATGCAGACACCTCTCCGATGTTCGGTATCTCCGCTTGCGCTACAACTCCGTACATGTTTAGTATCCATTACTCGCGAAGTGCACGTAGCTATCTCCAATTACCTTTCACGGGCGGATAGGTACGTGAATTGAACGTAGTATCGCTGTCTGAGGCGCACCGGTGTAGGGGCCGTAGTAATTGAAATAGCGCGAGTGAGGCGGCGCACTGAATTCATTAAGCGGGCTATGATCGGTGGACACTCCGACAGTGGGCAGGTAATCAACTCGGTTCGTAGCCTAGTTAGCATTGTTTACGAGACACGCGATGTGTACTTACGGTAACCAACCTACTGTTACAGTTAGAAAGGGTTCGGGTTGCGCGGACTAACTAGAGAAATGTCAAACAAATATACCGGCGGCTGATCATGTCAGATCTGACACAAATCAAAATGAGGGAGAAATCTTTTCTATTGAGTCATATGTGTGTGCAGGTGTGCGTGCGTGGAAGCGTTTATAGCCCCTGGGCCGGCGGCGCAAGGTGTGAAGCATAATGATGATGAGCAACTATTACATTAACAACATAATGTGAGATGCATTTCACAAATTATAAAAATTGAGTTATAAAAACAGTTCAAATTATGGTAATCAGTATAAAATGAGACGGGTTTCATATAAAAGGTAATCAAATGTGGATTAGGGAGTGTGCACACGAGTGGTGGGCCCCGATATCCACGGCTCACTGCCACGTAGCGTTACGGTTTAAGGCGAAGTTATACGGATTAAGATTAAGTATGAACTTGCGCAAATTGCCGCAAGACTTCTAACACGCGTGCTGCGAGCCCCCGTCGCATTCACTTAGTCGTTATTACAGTTACCGGATAACTTTACTGAATAATAATCGTGTGAAAGCGCATGTACTCGTACGAACCATATGTAGCTGTACACATATATTAACAAAATTCATCCAATAATAACTGGATGTTAGTGATGTCCTTGTCTATCAACGCTTTCATTCATCAGTTAGTTTTTAAAAATAAATTATTTTATATTTGCGGTTGCGTGTAGCGTGGTATTATCTATTCAGCAATAATTCTGTTTTTTTTTACATTAGCGGCATCTCGGTACCGTGACGAGTCACGCTTGTAATCGCGTCGTAAATCATCTCTCTAACAACACTTAATATTAAAATCGTTCACCGCGACACATTACACGCGCATCTACATGTCATATCTGAGCGCATCAACACTTCATTCGTGCATTCTTGTGTAAATCTGCCAACTAAACTGATTTTAATATTTCACTACTTGCTAATCTTTAGCAGGTATTTCCGAGCTTGTGTATTATTGGATTTATGGTATATACTATACTGTAGTATTATGATTTATAACTAAACTACTCGACATAAAGGTTTTACTCATAAACCAACTCCACAATGAGAATATACACTTGGATATATAATTAGGTAATTGATTAGTGGAATACAATTGTAGAGTTTACAGCTGTCACATTTTATTTAAATAATCTTTTTACGTGAGTAAAGTTATTTGATACATTGGCCATTAGCTCTTTGTTGGTAAATGAATTTTAGCTGAGAGTAACAAACTAGCTCATTAAGAACTTAGTGAGCTTCTCGCACAAAGTCAACGAGACTTAGAAAGTTTCACAATTATTTTAGTAAGCTTTGCGGCATAATCTAGCTCAAACCTTTGATGGTACTTATTAATAGGGCGGTTATGTCGTATACTTTTTTTTGCTTGAAATTGATATGAAATACCTATGATGAATCGATATACCTACAGGTAATATTGTTATTGACTTTGGTATTAGCGCATTGTAGTTCAAAGTTTAAATATTATTTTTGTTGTGTTTTATGTTTATCAAGTTATAACCCCGCGGTTTCGCTTGTGTTATTTTTGTATTGGTTCTGTATTCTGACAAAGTGTGTGCAATATTTGAAGAAGATCGCTTAAGCAGTCAAGGCGTGAAAAAGTTAATAAAAAAATGAGCTCACTTTTACGCCGATTTGCATATATTCAGATTCACAATTTTACCTATTCGTTAAACCATCGGCCCATCAGGCATTATCATCTGGTCGAAGGATCTTCCCTTTGTTATGGAGGGACTTGACACCCGTTCCTCCACAGTCCTCTACATTCCTTCACTAATGACACTAGTTCTCTCCAATTATCAGCAAATACCTACACCTGTTCGGGTACGCGGCTCTGGCCTTTTGTGCTACTGCAGTCTCAGGTTCGTTATTTATCTGGCATTCTTTACCGTGTCGCCCTTGCCCTATCCCTTATCTTAGCCCAATTTACTTTCTGGGATAGACTATATACTGGCAGACTATATATGAAGTGAGCCAAGAGTAAAATAAAATTGGGAAAATGGCAGATAATGACGGTTACAAGTTAAGATGGAACTTACATGTACTCCTATAATGAACTTTAATTGTATTATAAATTAAGAATAATATTTTACCACATCGGACACAACGCCATCTAGTCCCCAAACTAAGCAGAGCTTGTACTATGGGTACTAGACAACTGATTTAAATACATAAATTCTTTTTTTTATAAATACATACTTATTATACATTTCTATCACCCAGACAAAAACAAACACTAAATGCTCATGCACACAAATGTTTGAATTGAGCAGGAATCGAACCCGCGACCCTTGGAATAGCAGTCCGTTACACATACCACTACGCCATACGGTCGTTGAATATTAGCGGCAGGGGCAACGTTTTCGTGCATGTAACAAATATTAAGCTAATTACGACGTCATTATTTAGGTAAAGCAAGATCTAACGGAGTATTACAGCAATATTAAGCTGACTAGTTGGACCATCGTAACTCTTCATTGGCGCGGCGCCGCGGCGCTCTCCTCAGTATTCATTACACGCGCGTTACGACCACCTCTAATTGAAATATCTGAAAACGTGACGGCCATGTGCACTACGCTCATAATGGCTGCTATACGGCCGTGCTATATAACTACTAATAACTTCACACATCTCACACACGGCCGTCTGATTCCATACTAGGCAGAGCCTGTACTAGGGTAACCAGACTGCTGATAAACATACTTATACATTTCTAAGTACATACATATTATAGATAAATTACACTATGACACAGAACAAATCTGTATATTATCATAACTTCATAGTTTATAATTTCATGTGTATGGAAAAACACATCTATGTTTTTATAAATGTGCGCGAGCTTTGCTTCGGCACATTTGAGCCAGGTCTCACAGAAAACTGGTGTTAAGGAATTCTTTTTTTTTCTTACTTGGAATATGGATTGTGTGGCGGGGAGACTTTACAAACATTCATGAAACGGACACTCAGGATAAGAATTTGTGGATCTCACAAAGTGGTGTCCCATGTGGCCCTACAACACTTAGCGCAGTAGAAAGTAGCCAGGAGAAAATTCTTTCGTGGCTTTCAACCGAGGTAGTGAGGTCACCGAGCCCAATTCTTCCTCCCAACGTTACTCGTTCGTTGGGTTGCAGGTGTCCATGGGCGGCGGTAGCCACTTATCATCTGGTGATATGTGCGCTCGTTTGCCCTTCTATGCCATAAAAAATCCGGACAAGTGCGAGTCAGAGTCGCCCGCCGAGGGTACCGTACAAATTTATAGGTACATATTTGACACCAGGGCCTTCCTTTCTAGGGTATACCTGGTTCCCCGGCTATTAGTACCCGGCGAAGGCGTGCGGTTTTAGTCGGTTCGAGTCCGACATGCCACCGACAGGTGGTATCCGAGGGGATTTCCGCACGGAAAAAAAAAAAAAAAAAAAAAAAAAAGGTACATATTTGAAATAGTTTAGGAATCGATCTAGCAGTTTTATCCGAGCTTTCCCCGCAATTCGGGTTAAGAAATTTATAATAACTCGTACTTTAAATTGTTTTTAAAAGTAAAATTGTGTTGACCAGATCCTATACACCAGTGTATAGGATCTGGTCTAATCTGTGCAGGTTTATTGTTTAATTCACGAAGCCGCTTTTAAATAGCATCGCACCTGGCGGACTTAAGGGCCGTCACACGCTAGACATACTATTTGTGCATATTCCTAAATCAAAGTACACTAGTTATATTACTTCTGTGATAGCTATGGGTCATAGCTATCACAATTACATAAAATTGCTAACATACAATATTTTCAGTTTATTGTCGATACTGATATTTCAGTTATAAATATTCAAGTTTAGAAATAGGCGAGGGCTCGATGAAAAACTCAATAGTTAACTTCAGTTAATTTTCTAACTTTTATCAAAAAGTGCGATTTAAAAATCACTAGCTGCACAGTAATTACCTGGCGGTTTAATATCGACAGTTTTAATGTCTTGTATTATTCCATCGATCAGTATAGTATAATTTGAAATGGCATTGTACAGACTTCTGTGCCATGACAGGACACAACATGTAAAATCGTTAACTATTCTTTCCGTGCGATAAATATGTAACAAAATTGTAAGTTGCATTTTTCCGTTAATTTCTATCTATAATAATATCTATTTATTTAGTATGTATAACGCTGTAATGAAAGAATGTTTCTACGGTAGTGAGACCTGTAGTACATTAAAAACATAGTTAAGATTCACAGGGAGTAGCCAATAAATATGTCTCAGAATATTATATATTTATAATAAATAATTTATATAGCTTGTGTCTTTATTTTTCTTCCTTTCCAGAATCCTAGTCCTAGTAGTAGTCAGTTGGATGTTGTTCATTCTGCCTAGAGAGAACTCGCTGATAATGGTCTGAGAGGTGGCGACACGCCTTCAGAAGTAATACCTAGATATTAGATATCATTAATGATACGCACAGTCTATTGGGAGTAATGGCTGATCTTCTACAAGCGCGGCATCTGTTAATTGCACTTGTGAGGCAATTATAAAGCGGGGATAGATATGCAAGCTGCATAAAGCATAATGTCGGGGTTTAAACTTTGATACACAAACTGACGAGCATTAGCAATATTGAATCTGTTTCGAAATGCAAATGAAGTGAAAAGTTATTATCATACGAATTAGTTAAGTAATTATATTATTAATTTATTATTTATTTATTAATAATTGACAAAATAAGAAGATGGCATCTATGTCCGAGTTTCACGATCTCTGTAAAGTTTCTTTTATAGAAATAAAATTATCAAAAAACATTTTACATTAATTGATTTTCAGATTTCCATCGGTTAAACCTGGATGAAATGAGGCCAAAATATCTCAACTTGTATCGACAGTCACTACACTGTGGAGCCAACGTCTATTCGTTACTTTTGACTGACTTCGTAC